TTATTTTGGGAAATGTATTTACTTTATATTTTTGTATATTTACATTTTTTCTATAGTTCTATATTTGCAACCTTTTTTCCAACTTAATTCCTCTTACTGTGTTTAGGTATGCACCATTTTACAACAAAGCAAATCCCTTCAAACTGTAAATATACTCACCAATAAACCTGATTCTGAGTTGCTTTGGACACAATGTTCCCTGATCTTTTCCTTTGTAAGCATTTTTCATTCAAACAATCAATGCCAGACAAAACATAAATGCGTTCGTAGAATTCTCCATTTCTAAAGTACAACTTCAAACCTGACTTGGATCGTAGTGTTGACTTTTTGGGAAAAGAGTAGGCGGGAGATCTTCAGATGTGCATGTTTTGTCCCGGTGTTACCACCTGGCAGCAGGCCTTCGGTGGCCTCCATGTTGGCACGGTGTGGGCAGCAGCAGCCAATGATCCTCTGTTGAAATACCCACACATCTTTTATTGGGACACACTGCAGGGACATGTGTTCTGATGTGTCCAATTCACTCTGAGAAGCAGTACATCTTTAGACAGTACTGCTTTGAATGATACGGTTGTATAAATCACTGGAACAGAGTCAAGCCAAGATCCTGTTGCTACGTTTAGTTAGACACTCTTTCTAGTGATGTGCTTCACATGAGAGCAGTAATAAGTCTCCTCTCAGATGGAGTGATTTATGAAGAGTCTTAGGTGCTGATAAGCTTGTTTGATCTTGGCATGCCAAAGCCACAATAAAGGAAACAAAGGATTTTGGAGCCAGGGCTTTACAGTAACCACAGTTATGATGAGGGTGTGCGTATTAAAGCATGTGTGTGTGAAGAGATATCCACACACAGAAAGCTGACAAGGATTTTTGTTTGCCCCGCTTGGGCTCATGGTATGGCCAATCTAGCTTAAAGCGTTTTTTTGGTAATGGTTAATACATGAAATAAAAGTAAAGATAAGGAGCAAAGGTATGTGACTGAAGTATAATAAAAGTGCAATACACACTTTCGTACAGCGACTGCTGACTGACTTACCTCACCTATAATCTGCCTTATTCTTATTTATGCCATGGATGTGTATTATTTGATTTAGTTAACATGTGCTTGCCTCCTTATTTAATATGTTAGCATATTTATTGTATTTGCCATTTTATCTGCACCGTGCCTATGATTTAACAATGTAATATTCCCATTGTTAGACGTATAAAAGGATTTCTGATACTAAATGTAAACTATTAAATTGGCTATATGAAATGAAAACATGGTCCTATTTCTTTGTGATTAAAATACCAAAGAAAAATAGTGAGTTTCTTTTTATATTATACAGAACTACTGTATAGTGAAAAGTTATCATAATGATTTCGAATTTTGGAGTAAAAAATAAATCCTATTAAAACAAACATTTGATTTAACAGAGCAGAATCCTTAGGTGTAGGTGTGCAGGGTGTTTTTGTCAGAGTCCAGTTTTGTTAATCTCATTAAATGAGGCGTAGAAACCACGGTATTAAAATAGTATCAATGCGATTTATTTTACATCACATCTTTCGAAAAAAAGTGAGTTGTTATGTACTTCTTATTATCAACTAATACAACGTAATTGTGTATCTTGGTACCTTAAAATATGATTTCATCACAATGAACCACTCCAAGAAAGTAAACTATTGAATTATTGTCCAGCTCTTTGCCCCTCGTGGTATTATTCTGTTATAGTCTGATACTGTATCATCTCTCATTCTCAATAAATTGTGGTATAACAAATAAATAAAAGAAGAGGGTTATTCTGGGTGATGTATCCATAAAGTCTCTTTCTTTTGGTAAGCATATGTCTCCCTGAAGTCTATACTCACAAAAACAATGGACATTAATGTGATTTTGAATTAAAAAAAGAGAGGATAATAATCCACTTGGTCAGCATAATTTAATGAGACAGAGTGTGAAAGGAACTAAGTGGATAACCAAACGCAGAGTGGGTGGTGGATGGAGTCAGTGATATTTCAGCTTCCCTGGGTGGTAAGCCTGCTGACAGGGAGGGGTGACAGTGAGGGGGGTGGTGTGTGTGTGTGTGTGTGTGTGTGTGTGTGTGTGTGTGTGTGTGTGTGTGTGTGTGGGGGGGGAGAGGGTCAGTAATTAAACCAGCGCCACCAGATTTAACTAGTATATGTAAAGCATATGGAGAGATCAGAGAGAAAGAGAGGAAGGACACAAAGCAGCGTCATTATTTTAATATCAGTCCCCCAGCCTGTTTGGACAGGCAGGATTTGCAAGATGGGTTTTTCAGCCGGAGCCCGGGGGCAGGGTGGGGTGGGGTGCGGTGGAAATAGTCGACTTCGTGGTACTCAGGGTGTGGCTGCTCTGGGAACAGTTCTCCTTTCAACAGGGGTAATCTCAGCACAGGTCACATCCGACCTCAGGACACCAGATGAAACTGCATGTCAGCTTCCTGTTGTCTCCTTCATTTACTTCATGATCAGCGACCTGAACTAAGGTCACAGATATCTGAGCCATACCATCATAAGAACAACGTAAACCAATGTATATATTGTTTAAGGATTTCTATAAATGATTATAAATGAAAAAAACACATTTTTTAAATATTATTTATTTGAAATGATTCATTATACTTTATGAATATTAAGTATATTTTTCAATTATTATGCAATAATAGGTTAGGGTTAGTTTTTCATAGATATTTGTCGTATAGTTGTTGAATTCGATTTTTTGTATATTTGTATTTCTTGTAAACATTTAATTTTTTTTTATTGATTTCATATTTGCTGCTTTATACCTCTTACTGTGTTTATTTATGCATCATTATACCCCAAGCTAGTTCCTTTTATGTGAACACTTATTTGTCATAAAAACTGTTTCTGTTTATTCTTTTTTGGAAAATGTTCCAATGGAAGAAACATTTTGCACAAAACACACCAATAAGAAAATGTCCATGTTATAATTACTTACTAATACAAATTGTAGTTTATGGTCAAAGTGTTGACTTTAATTTCATCTTTAATTTGTCACATGAGCATAGCTATATCCACAACTCACAGCAAATGCTTAACTTGGAATCTGAAATGGAGATGATGTCAGTGTGGAGAGAGCAAATTAGTAACGTGATAAGCGTTGGAAGTGAAACATTAGACGTGGAATCGGAGTTGTGATGGACCCAGAATCCTGAGTGACCCTGCTTCTCAGCTGACATGTGAGATTCTTCGGAGGCCTGAGGGTCAACACCGGCCCAGCGTGGTCAAGACAGATCACATAATGAACACAACACCAATCCTCTTTTCATCAGACTTTATTTATATTGAAAGGGCATGAAAGAAACATTACATACACACCTTTTAAATAACTCAGTTACAGCGATTAATTAGTTCGGAAAGAGAGGCACACACACAGAGATATAAACAGAATATCTAGACAAATGCACAAACACATTCAGAAAGGCAAGCCAAAAAGGGGGGCTCCCTTATGGAACAGGACATTCTGAAACTGCCAAGAAAAACACTCTACGAGCCAGAAGCCGTTCCAGCCTTATCAAATTATTTCGTTTTTATGACCAGGAAAAAGTGATTTTGCTTTGTTCTAGAAAAAAAAAACAAAAAAAAACTGAGGCTTTGCGGCAAAAGTGCCTGCTGGTCAAGCAAAGATTTTCAGCTTCGTGTAATTACCAATTTGTGGCCCTTAGAAAAAGAGGCTCAAAGGAGTTGTTCCAATAAAACAGCAGCCTCCTACAGAAAAAAAAGTGTGTGTGTTGAGCAACAGAAGAAAGTTCTCAGTTAGAGAGAAGAGGGAAGTGTAAAAGGGAAGGGGAGAGCACTGCGTGTACCATACCTAGAGCTGGGTGTCACAATGTGATGTGTTGCAATAAGGTGTGTACTGTCTGGATTCTCTGGAAATTCAAGAGGACAGAGCCAACACACACACACACGTATATGTAGAGAAGTACACCATTGACATCACTACATCTGCATTTGCAAACATGCCAAAACACAGTTCCCCACATAAAAACCTCACGGACGTCAGCATGGAGGAAATAAACACTAGACCCACGTTTTCTGACAAGCGGTTGGGATAAAAAAAGGGAAGCGACATTGCAGAGCACACCTCTAAATGGGAACTGATGCTAACTGATAAATGACAATAACAGAAGGAGGACAAAAACAGGATGCTGGTCAGATGAAAGAGCCCGAAATGTCAGACAGCCTACAGACTGTTGTCGCCTTGCAACGTTAACAGCCAACACCAGTCTGATAAGCTATCTGACAGGCCGGGAGAGTGACTGAGACGGACGCATGTACAGAAACCACAATGAAAAAAAAATAAAAATAAAAATCCTGATCCGACTTACCATAACAGGAGAAAAGAGGAGATGTGAGTGGAGCTGGTGCAGAGCGCAGGGTTCAGCCTGCTCAACAGTGCCCCTCTGTTTTGAATCTACGCAAGTGATTCGTCTCCTGGCGCTGTGACTGGAGCGGTGCAACGAGTTCATTCGAAGGTTCAGCTGAGGTAACGGCACAGACGCTTTTCACTGTGCGCTTGAGGTTTTTTTTTTTCCCCTCTCCCTCCTGCTTGCTCTAGCGCCCACTGTGCTCAGTCCAGCGTAGCACAGCAGCGGCACAGAGACGGAGGAGTAAAAAGCACATTTCTCCGGCAATTACGGAAAAAAAGAAGGAGGTGAATAAACGGGAGAGCCAGCTGTATTATCCGACAAGCAAAATAACATTAAAATGCTATTCAGATGCTCTTGAGTTGTCAAACATGAGCTCGCTGTCCACATCGAGGTAAAAAGGATTTAAAGGAAAGCTGGAGACAAAGAAAAACACTCACCCTGACACACACTGTCTCTAAGTTAAAGGAGCAGCCGCTATCTGCTATAGGACGACTTCCAGGCAGACACAGTCTATTAGTGGAGCGCAATCTGCTTTAATCCATAAAAGATAAAAGGGAGAGCAACAAATGTGGCAGCCACGCAAACGCCTATCTCTCTCTCTCTCCCCTCCCCCCCCCCCCCTCGGCTCCCCGTCTCACACACAGGCACGCGCACATAGTGGCAGATCTGATTCAATATATGAATGCATCTGGTGAAGTGGCCCCCGGGCTGACTCATGTGCTCTCTTCCTGGAAGCAGAACAATAACGGCAGACAAAGAGACCAGCAGGGGGATTCAGGGCCGATTTATCATTCCTCGTCCAAAAGTACCTTGATGGGCTTTACTGCGCGGACAATAGAAGAGGTGGTCCTCCAAAGAACCGTGAAACATTGGTTAACATGTCTACAATACAGTGACTTAGAGCTCTAAAATATGACACCATCATAAAGTCTTATCTTACCACGGATAATACTGCATAACAACTCTACAGTACTCTTCCTAATAATCAGATAACACATCATTATCTTATTGAACGAAAAAAGTAGCGCTGAATTTACAGAACATTCACGGCGCAACAAAAGGAAGCTTACTCAAAAAATGGGAATTAAACAGACTCCATGGACAAATAATGTTCTTCTAGTGCAGCTTAAGGCCTCACTGGGGAAATGACTGCCTACTTCTCACGTGCTCAAAGTGCCGACATGAACTACTCAAGACAAGAAAACCTACCTTACAACTGCTGAAACACTACCAAAAGCAAAGCCTGGAAAAACGAGTCCAACATCAACATGTTGCTACAGCAACACCACAGGAACTAGATGCAGCGCCTCAGATAATGGTGGCTTGTCAGCTGAAATGAGTCGGGGGGTTTGGGGAGAGCTTCTGAAGTTGATGCTTGGCAGTGGTGGCTATCTGGCCTTCACTCCGTCTTGCCCTCCGAGTGTTTCCCCGGCTGCCTGCGCTGGCTGTAGCTCTGGGCCATGGAGTTGACAATGGAGCAGACAAAGAAGCATACCATGATGACCACAACCTTCTCGAAGAGCCACGGCAGCCAGCTCTCCTCCTGCCAGGAACCACAGCGAGAACAGAGAGAGAGAGAGGAGCTCGGTCAGTAAGTTTAGTGCCCCCCCCTCTTCACCCCACACCCTGCTATCCCCTCTGCTCCTGATGCTGTAGGCTAGGTGGGGATCCAGCTCCATGTGCAGGACAGATAGAGATCAGGGGTAATAAAACACGCGGCAGCCCCCCCCCGTCCTCCCTCCCAACGCCCCCGCTGACCCCATCCTGCAGCCTGCCTCCACCAAGTTAAATTGCCTCGCTTCACTCCTGTAACTGCAGCGGGCTCAAGTTACAAGGAAAAAGGAACATTGTTCTAAAAAATGCCTTAATCTGTCCTTGTGCAACTCAAAGTTTATCCTGTTTTGTTTTCCTTTCTTCTTCTTAGTAAGTGATTAGAAAAGAAAAAAGAATTTTCAATGAATAAAGAGACAAAGAGCGAGTGAGGAATGGAGGAAAACACTTTGAAAGAGAAACAGGCTACAGCTACAACTGGCGCTTTTTGTTCTAG